TTGCACTGAAGCCAAACAGGCTTTCTTAGGTTGCAGAGTAGTTACATAGCAGACGTTCTCTGCAGTGTGTAGCCATTAGTTGCCTATGCCTTGAACATCTGAGATAGAAATGAAGATAAAACAATTCTAGTCTTGGTATTGTGTAGCTTTAATGGAAAGGTCCTTAGTGGCTCTTGTGAAGGGCTGTAGCATAGTTCACAGGGAAATTAATTAAGGAAAGTTACTACTGTGTTTCCCTTCTTCCCCATTGAGATTGCATTCTTTTTTAGTTTGGGGTTTTTTTGTTTCTTTGTTGTTAGTTTATTTGTGGGGGTTTTTTGTTTGTTTTGGTTTTTTTGTTTTTTACTGTTTCAATAATCTGCAAGTGTTCAAATAATCAAATAACTTTTGTTCCTTTACTGTGGAAAATGATACTGCTATGGCTTAGTCCTTTTATTCTCAAATACAATTTATTTTGTAAGTCTATTTAAAAGGCATTGACAAAACACCAGACTCATTGAATTAGCAATATTTTTTGCCAAGCATGTGCTGCCTCTTTGGCTTTATGTTTGTTATTTGATGCCTCAGTCATACCACAGAAAGTGTTGCATCTGTTCTGTTCTGGCTGAGATTGTTCATTTCCTTCTATTCAGATGCTGACTTTTCAAGTGTTCCCATATTTTTTGCTTTGTTGCCTTTTCATTCAGAGACCTCTTAATAACTGGAAGGCAGGCAAGGTTTCCTGAGAAGAGTTGTGCAGTGCAACAAAGTACTGTTATTTCTGAGGGTGTGAAAGTGTTCTTCACTTATTAGACGATTATGTACCTAATGCTGAGGAAATACTAGTATTAATGTGCCTATACCAGTTCTCTTGTTGATACTGAAAATGTGAGAATTTGCATCCAAGACAGATGAGTTTTCTGACAGGCGAACAAAAAGACCATCTTCTGATGGTGTTACTTAATACTATTGGCTTTATTTCTGTGTTTCCCAGTAAAATGTACACTCTTTTCTGAAGTAACCAAGCATTTATCAACCAGGCTTTTGGCTGACCTCTGGCTAAGAGGGCTTGTATTGTTTTACCAGCTCTTGAAGTTTTCTCTCTTCATTTTTATTGCTTTATTTCTCAGTGTAGCTACAGCAGGATCCTACCTCCTGATTTGATTTCTGGATAGTTGAAGCAATGTTCAGAGTGTTAAAGTGTTAAAGGGTGAAGTGTGCCTGCCTATGGCAGGGGGGCTGGAACTAGGTGGTCTTAAGGTCTTTTCCAACCCTAACCATTCTATGGTTCTGAAGCTTGATTTTTAATAATTTAAAGCAGACTGCTCAGTCCCTAGGTAGGGAAGCAATGAAGGAACATATTAGTTTGTCCTCTACTAATGTCATGGAAAAGGAGCTGATTGCATCACCTGGCCAGAAAGCTTTATCATAGCTGATTTAAAGTGCTGGAATATTCACGTTCCCCATCTCTGAAACACCTTCTGAAGGAGAGCTGTAGTCAGCAAAGAAAAAATGACATAAATGTGTCATGTCTAGGTTCACACTATATGGATTTCTTTAATATCTGATTGAAATATACCACGAAACATCTGTGGCTAAAAATATTTGCCTGCTACTCTCTTCTCTGAGACTATATCATTACAGTGTGCAAATATGCAGAAAGACACTAACATTCACAGTACAATAATTATTTCTTTAACAAGCTGTAAATGCAAACTAGAAGATAAAAATCCTAAGTACTGACTGATGTGCATAGAATGCTTTTTTTTTGTCTGCACGATCCTGTGCTATTTTTAATAGTGGTTTTAAAAAGGAAGGCTTTAGAATTTGTACATGCTTGAAAGAAGTAATATGTTATGCAACAACAATTGTACTAAACAGAAAAAGAGCATGTTACTGGAAGTTACAGTTAATTGTTGTATTTTCCAGAAGGTTGTTTGGTGGGAACAGTGGGGAAAAATGCAAGTAACTGCCAAAAACCAAGCGTGTGAGGTGAAACTGGAATTTGCTCTCATGAGAACTTTCTAAGATTCAGAAGTAACTGAGAAAAGCATGCTGTATTCAAATCTCTGGAGAACTATTGTACTGTATAGAGACAGCACAGCACACAGTGTTGGTAGGAGAAAGGAGAACAGAAAATCAAACTGATAGGAAGGTGAGAGTCCTAGGGATGGATGGAGGTTGTTAGGTTTTGGGGTTTGGTTTTGTTTGGTTTTTCTTTTGTGTAAATTTGAAGCTCCTGTTCTTTCCTTCTCCCCTCATCCCCTCATGCCCACAGAAAGGTTTTCCTGTGGGTTTTGTTTTGTTGGGTTTTTTTAAATGAAAGAAGCAAAGCATGTCCCTGTTACAAATCTGTAGAGCAGAAGATAGCTAAATTAGCTTGGGACATTCTGTGAGCGCTGTAGGCCAAATCTTATGTGATATATTCATGCTTTAAAAGTAATCCCTGAAGAGAAGCTGTAGGCAAAACATGCCACCTAGATGCTGGCTGTCATAGGAGTGGTGGAAAGCTGTGGCAGAAAGCATCCATAGACAGGAACAGAAGGTCCAGAGGCGAGGGGTCTGGCCTCCTAGCTCTTGGCACGCGTGCTTCCTGGCCCAGCAGTGGCCATTACTCAAGTGTGAGCATTTCTCTGCTTTGGCACTGCTTCTGACCCACGAAATCTGCCACAGGGTCTCCACGCTGGGAATACAGCTTGTTAGTCAATGTGTTCTTCCAGCACAAGGCTATAAAAAATTGTAGGTCATAATAGGCTGCTATTTATTTCTTAATATGTCCTTAGGTGCCAGAGGGGAGACTTTATTTATAAAAATAGTACTGGAATGCATTTACTAGGGATTGACTGTATTTATTTTGAACCACAGCACATTCATCCAGATCCACAGTCAAAACTACAAGAAAGTACAGTTTCCACCATCTACTGAGCTCGATTCTCTTAGCACTTATCCTTCCCTCTCTTGCATCCTGTTGTGAGTAATTCCACTGGCTTCGATGAAACAACATGAAGTAACCAACCTTAGCTCAGTACGATTTGCAGGAGCACTCTCCGCATTACTTCAGCACAAAGTATAGCTCTAAAGAACAAGCACATTGCCCAAAAAAAGAACAAACCCAGACAGAAAGTTAAGCAATAATTGTTGCTTAAGTTTGCAGCATTTCAGATGATCAAGCCTGATTACTCCTGACTCTTCACTTAGAACATCTTACAGCTGTAAAACATGTTTCTTGTTGCCAACTGTATTATGTTAATTCAGTATGAACGCAACCACTAAATATCACTTGATATTAGTAAATTACAGTTTATGCAAAGTAAAAATACTTTGTTTTGCACAAAACAGATCATGATATCTGTGTAAGGCATGAGATGATTATTATTGTTCCCTTTGTGTTATGGAGATACTAGTTCTGTAGTTAAGACTCTTGAGTTTTGTCCCCAAAGCAGGAATTAATTCTTATACTTGCAAATGTAAATTATGTCAAATGTGAGACAGGTCCATCACACCTTGTTCCTGAGTGCATTCCGGCTATTGTAAAGTCAGTATGAATTGTGGTATTAGTGCCACACATCTTCAGAGACTTTACAAGCATATTGAATGATTAAATAAGTTTTAAAAGTAAGTTCTTAAAGCAAAGACGGAATTGACAATTTGTTGAGAGTATATTTTAGATATTCCTATGCTAGCATGTCACTCCTTACAATTTGCATGTTGGTAATTTCAGGTAAGTAAATATCACTTATACAGAAACTCAATGCACAGGAATGGTGTAAGTAGGAGAAACAAGATTTCATGTTGATTTACAGGCAGAACATGTGGTGATCAGGAGAATTTTGAGAAAATATCCAGCTTGTCTGTACATTGGCTAATGCACAGACACACAGCACATGTGGGCTGGTCACTCAGTAGGTTGTATAAATCAACTGTCCCTTTCTCGTTCCTGACCTGTATTCTGCTTTTCCCCATGTTTTCCATGGTGTATTAAAGGGAGCAGTATTGTGCAGCATATGAAGCCTACTGCAAATTTCTAGCACAATAAGTGATAACCTGGCCGTACCATTTTGGACAAAATCTGTCACTTCTGGTTAATCAGATGTCTTTTTTCTGCACAGATACTTCATGTTAGATGTTGGTGTCAGTGGAAGAGTAAGCATGTTTTGACCTGGGGGCAGTTCCTGCCTATGTAATCCCTCTCCAGACACAGATGGTTGGTGCTCCTGCCAGGTGTCACCAAGGGGTGAAGGACAGCACTTTTTGCAAGGGAGAGCAAAAGCAGGCCTCTTCTGCAATTGCTTTTACGCACCATCTTGTTTTACGTAGTGTAACTTATCAACATACAGGCCAGATGGACAGTGGTGACTATGCTGCCAATATAAAGTCTACAGTTAGGAATAATTTCCACATTGTACTTATGATTCTCCTGCATTTGCCTCTGTTCATGTTGAGTACTGATTCTGTGAACCATGCTTTTTTGTTACTGTGGCTCTCCAGATAATGACACAATGCAGTCAAACATGGATGGGAATAGCTACAACAGTAATTAACCCACAGCAGAGAAATGCTGAATCAAATGAGCATTTTGCACAGGGTTGATATGGTCTCTGGGCAACCTGAGTTTCTTCAAAAACAAAATAGGAATTGCACTTCCTCAAGTATACAGCATCATCTGACTTTCTGCTGCAGCAGGCAAAGCTTTGCTTGACCTGCTCATTCTGTCCCTTCACTGCCATGAAGGGAGGCATACATGAGAGCACAATAAAGGCATGCAGTGACATAGGCCCGATCTGCCGAAATGCTGAGGCAGATTCTGACCACAGTGTTTCCCAAGCTGCTTCTGTGGATAGCACAGAAGAGCAGAAGAGCACAGGCTGTTACTGGCAATATGAAGGGTTCCTCCCTTCAGGAGTGAAATCAGAAAATAGTGTGGAATTCTAGGAAGTAGAGTTGAAGGAATACAAAGGGAAGAACACCCTAAAATGAGTGCATTTAACTAGTACTTTTGCCATGAAAATAGCTCAGGAGCATCACTGAATAGGATGTCTATTTATTCATGATCAGCCTTGTCACGCCTCCTCATATATATGAATATATATTAGAAATGAACTTTGATATAATCGGATACATGCAATTCACAATAATTAAGCAGAAATAAATTCGTTTTTCAAGGCTGGATATTTAGGAAGTGGTGTATGTCCAACCACTTCACTTTAGTTTTAGTGAGATAGAGCCCATACTTCAGAACGTGTGGAGTTGGCCTTCCTTGGGGACTTCAGATCTAGGACTAGTTCTGAGATCACTTTCTAATTTTAATTACTGCTATCAAAATAAAAATTACTCCCACAAAGCAGATGAAATCCTCCCTGACCCCTCCGGAAATCAGCAGCAGCAGGCCTCTTTAAGGCGTATACAGACAGGCCTTGTGCTGACCTCTGAGCAGGATAAGCTTCTGTTGCTGGCGCTTCTCCACAGGAATGAATTTTATCCAGAAAGAACAGCAGAAGAGGTTTGGGTTAATATTCTAGGTTGGGTTTTTAATATTGGCTAGCATAAAGGTCAAGTAAATGGTTTAAACATAACTGAATATGACTGCTATGAAGAACATGTGCAGAACTACAGCTTTGTCTCTTTGGTGTTGATCTTATAACACACAACTTCTACCTTTTGTGATCATATTCTGAGTTACTAAACCTCATCACTGAGTTCATTCCTTGCTGTTCAATTAGTGGCTCCATAAAAATTTAGTAAGTTATTTAAAACTACTTCAATTGATGTTAAGGTATTATTTTTAATTTTCAGATAAGCCATTCTTAAATAATGGCTATAAGAAGTGAGTAATGCTCTTGCCCATTAATTCAGCACTTTAACTGACTAATCTGCGTGCAGTTTTGTAACAATAGCTCATCTATTTTCAGGTAATTAGGCAACATGATTAAGATCACGTGTGGAATTAACAGGTCAGTACATCCTCTCACTAGTTTCATCTAGGAGATAATTTGATCTGAAAGCCATATGAAACAGAACAATTTACCCATTCTAGCCCCAAGTTCTCAGTTTTGAGTGTGGTCAGGCTGATATTTCATGGGAAGAGGTCAGCTGTGAACTTGACTTCTATATGGATATTCTCCTTTGAAATGTGAATTTCTAATTGAGGCATAAAGGTTTTATAAAATGGTCCAAACAATCATTTGCATAAAAATTGCATAACAAAAATGAGAAAGAAAATGCTTCACTTCTTACTCCATGTTGGTCAGTTCGTATTTATCATGCATGTCATTTTCTTCTCCTGGCTCAGTATCTGAATGATGAATTTCAATAAAAACAATATAGATCACTGCTCCAAGTATGCCTCCCAGCATAGGTGCAACTGTAGGGACCCACCACCAATTATTTCCAGCCCTGTAAGGAAAAAAATAAAACAAAGAATTAAAAAAGAAAATTATTGGTCTTCATTACTCTAGTGAGCGCCCTACCTTATATTTGGCAGTGAAAAAAATAGGGTGGCCTGACACTGGCTATATACTATAGACTTTTCTGTTTAGTCTCACTTTCTGTGTAAGGACGACACTCCTGTCTGTCCTGCCCATGTTGCGATTGAAATGCTAAGTACCAACCACCAGGCATGGTGGTCTATGTGCTGTACTCGCAGCTTAGAAAATCAGGCCTCTCTACTGCATGTGTGCTTTGGGGGCAGGGGATAATTTCTCCCTTGTGGAAAATGAGCTTCATTGACTTGCAATGAAATGAAATGAACAGGGACGTACCTATTGCACAGCAACCTTGACTGATGCTGTTGCCAGATGCTCATGAATAGGTTTTCAGGAGTGATTAATGCAAATGTATGTTGCAAAAATGGTTTATGTCATCTGCATTGAGATCTACTGCAATAGTATATACAGTCTTCCTCTTGACAAGTATAATAGATTATACCTGATTTTGAGTATATTTGCCTTAAGGAATGTAATAAAACACAGTGACTGTAAAGTGGATTATACTTGGAGTGGTCAAGATTCAGATTTCATGATGTTGTGTCTTATCTCTGTGTTTGAAATGTGGGGTCTTTCAGTAAGAGGTAAATAAGCATTTAGAAGTTTCATACACCTAAAACTTACTCTTTTTTACAATTGCTGTGTTTGGGAAGCAAGCCTGGCATACTGGCTCCACTGAGCTGTTTACATTCCCTTTGCACAATTTTAAATTTTAATGAACTTTTTTAAAGAAACAAGTCCACCATTAAACAGTATAAACAAAAAGTAACGGCCTCTATACAGGAGATCTGGGTGTGTAGACTTGCTCTCCCTTTCCCAGAGGTCCACATTCAGACAGTAAATTACCGAGTATTGGTTTCAGAGTACAGCCTTTCTTAACTGTACTGGTGAGTGAAGGTGTTTCGATTTGATAACATGCTGTATTAATTGAATATGCGAGTCTGCAGTGAAAACCCAGCCAACTTAATTTCATGCACATTGAAAATGGAGAAATAACTTTTTCTTCCAGAAATACAGAGATAAATTTGTCTGTGAGAGGAACTTTTAAAACTCCAGGAGAGCTTTTAAATTGTAAAAATGATTATTCAGCACTCAGTTGTATAGATTTATGCATAAGTGAACTTGTGGTTAATTCACAACACAAGAATAGAACAGGAGTAATATCACAGTGCCCTATTGATGTTAATGTCATTCCTTGTTCAGAAATGTCTTGGATGTGTATGTTTTGCCTTTGGAATTACTTATATTTTGCCCTGAGGATATAAAATAGCTCTTCACATTGTTCTACTGAGTTTATAGATCTGTTTGTTGTTGAGTCATAAATGTCTGTTGAGCCCCTGAATTTCTGGAACAAGCATGGACTAAGGTTTTATTGACTTACTCAGCACAACAGAATCTACAATCAAGTATTTGCATGTGTTTCTCTGTGCCCGTACGTGTACGTGGGCATATAATGAAGGTGTTTCTTGGCAGGTTTTTATCTCTGCTTGTCCCATGAACTGACGTGTGCCTCGTTGGCTCCTGCATAACCTCCAAGTCATGGCCTGTATTTGCAGCAGCTGCTGTCAGCTGCACTACAGATACCCTCTGCTAAGATGATTGGGTGTGAAGTCCTTATGGAGGGTGATGCCAAAGCTGAAATGAGATCAGGACCAGCTTAGTTACGAGTTTCCATGACACACAATGCCCTTTCATTGACACGGGAGCAAGAGCTCTTTGTGGCAAGCATAGATAGCTTCCTGGAAATAACCTTAGTTCCCTTATACCCTTGCTTTGCCCAAGCACACAGCTTTGCTGCTGAGTTAGCAGGAAAACATCCAGCTATACCTCTTTCATCATCAGTTGTTTTGCAGTTGGGGAGAGCAGGAGGGAGCTGGTTGTGAAGGGCAGGAGTGGCACTTGGCTGAACTGCCACGATTTCTAGGAAACTACAGTGTATAAGCTTCATGGGCTGAGAACTTTGGCCTGTTTTAGACTTGCAAATACATGTCTCACTTAGCCAACTACTGCAGGATGGTGAAATAACATTATTTGCTATAAGAAATGCCAGGATAATTCAGGCATTCCGCAGTGTGGAAGGTGCCTGGCTACCGTTCGACCGTCCAGGAAAGATGCAGCATATTTCAGAGGCCGCTTTGCCATTCTGTCTATTGCCTGTGCCGGCACTAGGTGCGTGTCCCGACCCTTTCCAAAGTGCAGTTCTGTCTAGTCCGGGCCCGGAGCCGCGGCCACGAGGTGTCAGCGTTACCGCGCCGGCGGCTGCCGGGCTTTGTCCGCCGCGGGGCCGCTCGGAGCACGGTCTCCACGATGGCGCGCTTCTGCCAGCGCGGGTCCGACCCGGCCTCGGCAAAGGGGCTACAGCACCCCTAATAAACTAGGGATGAGATATTCTATGGCTAGCCTCAAGTGCTGGTGGGAAATACAGTTCTGTGGAGCCGTTTCTCACTTGCTCATTGCTGTTTCGTGTTCTCTTATGCCTGGTATTTTTACTCAAAGCTCTGGCTGTTTTCTCACTACAGACAAAACTGCTATTCCAACAACTTCTCTTAAGCTTCCCAGGATATTAAGCATGTGATTAAGAGATTTCTAGGTATCTCTGTGGTTTTAGAGCAAATAATTAGAAACATTTAGGTCTCTAAAGTCAGTGGTTGGGAACTGTCCTCATTATTAGAAGTATCTGTGACACCTACTCTCAACAGGTTGAGGAACACTTTGTAGGAACCGGCCACAGCGTTAACTACATCTATTCTATGCAAAATGGCGCTCTCTAGGGTGCTGGTCAGACACTGCCCTTCCAGCTGCAGTGAGTCAGAACAGCTTCTGATGAGAGCTCTTAACTGAAACGAATGCAGTTGCTCTGGCTATGGAAACCACGCCACAGGCTGTGTCCCCTGGCTTGATTCTCGGGGAAACTGCTCCTTCAGGTAGGTGCCGTCGTGCAAAATGTCTTAACAGGAACACTTAGAAAAACCCCGCTCAACTGCCTCCTTGTGCTCTGGACAACTCTGTGCTCCAGCAGAAGAGCTTCCCTATGGTCTAGTCACTGTTCCCTGCCTGAAAACATGATAAAACCAGAATTTACTGGACCTACAAGCACAAAGAAGGATAGAGGGGATTTTTCTCCCTGTGAACTGATTATCTCAATGTTTACAGCATTTGCTTGGGATCAGGGTGTAGAGAATCTGATACTTCTGTATCTGATCTGTTCCAAAGTGAGGCTTTCCTAGTGGTCCCTGGCTGCCCTGTAGGCAGCACTCAGGGCACTCGCTGACCTGGACAGAGTGACTCAGTCAACCTTGTGAGATGTTTCCATTTTCACACCAGTGTATATTCAATGTCTCTTCAGTACTTCCTAGTGCTCGGTTTGTGCAGCACTCCCCTCATGTCACTGTGGACGTTTCATGCTTAGGTCCCACTTCCTGGGCATGCCTTTTACTTGACAGCTTGAGCACCTGTCTTAAGGTTGTGAATTCCAGTTAAGCTGAGACATCCAAGGTTGAGCTGTTGACTGTGGCTGCATCACGTCAGTCTCTCATGCATATGTAATGCCAGCAGAACATCAGGCAGTTCAGGATCATAGCTACAATCAGTCAGACTTCTCCCATGGCCTGTAACTGTTCCAGAGCTTCCAGCTACCTAATCCTGTTGTATCATTCTCTTGAACTTGGTTATAAGAGTTATAAGGCTGTAGCCTTATAACTGAAGGCAGGGAGGGAGACTTCTTCCTCAATTTATACACCCCTGAGACTGCTGTAAATTTATTCTGGCAATGACCTGATATTTAATCTCTTTTTTTTTTTTTTTTTTTATGTTCCCATTTTAAAATTTTCTGGTATGGCCCTTACATGGGGATGGGATGCATTTCTTCTCTGTATATAAATCCTAAAACTAAATTAGGGACGAGCATGTATGTGTTGGTACAGATGTGGAGTTTTCCTGTAACTTCTTAAATTTAAATGAGTAATTTAAATTACTTTTGGGGAGGAGGGAAGTTCACAGGTATTCTCTGACTTGACCTCAGTACAATCAGGCTTCCAACCTTTTCAGCAATGTAATAGTTCACTTCGTAATATTACAGATTACACACATGACACTATAATTAACATCATAGTTAACAACTATTTAGGCATGAGAGGGGAGAATCCTGAGTGTAGAGTGTCACTGTGTGCTGCTATTTGTTAAATAGTGCAGTCTAATGATACAGTGGAGAGAGACCTGCCAGGGAGGAAGAGTTTGGAGGCGAGTGGGCTGGTGAGTGACCTCCTGCTGCAGCTGTGTTACGGCCAAGCTTTGGCATGGCTGTGTGCCCATTTCTGCTGTGCTGTGCCGTGCCTGGCTTTTCTTTGTATGAGAAAAGCCTTGCTGCTGCTCTCCTCTACTAAGGCAAGTGATTGATGTAGATAGAAGTCGTACTAAATAAATACAGCTTATTTGTACTTGGTGAAGTAGCTAAAATGAAATCTCTATTAACCAGAGCTCTCTAGTGGTCTACAGTACTTCTGGGGATTCCTACTTGTAAATAACTGGAAAAACAAACCATACAAAAATAAACCAAAAGTTCTAGCTCCTGATGACAGAGTACTCTGACTTGGATATCCCAGAGTGCCTCTTACACTGGATATGTGTAAGCTGTGGATTTGATGTGCAACTAATTAGCTGTGCGTTTGGCCAGCCAAGAGTGTGTGTGTGCGTGCGCACATCCATGCACAGGGATTTGAGAGTGTGCTCTGAAATGTGGGAAAATGAAGGGAGCTTTCTTTTATTCACTCGTTTGCTCCCAGGCAGGAAGTCAGGCTTTTAGATTGTTGTATATTTCGGCAGTAACTCAGTAGTAATAATAGGCTAAATCAATCTGATATGTCTGTGTTTTTTTACAGCACCCAATAAATATTTCCACGTAACTCCTCATGATGATTATTATGTTTTCTTTCTGAAAGCTGCAGGACAAGAGAAGAATGCACTCTTACATTTTTAGTGACCTCTAAGAATCTCTAATATGTTGGGAAGGGTCTGCTTGGAACAGTGATTGATACTAGAGATAATGCATGTTTCATTTGCCTTAGGAGCAGGAAATCCTTTATAAAGCCCAGTTCCTAGAAGATGTCTGCCTTAAAGTGCATGAATAGCCTTTTCTGGTATGCAAAGAATTACCTGTATGTATATAAAGTATGACTTGGTACCATGTTGAATCAGGATCTTACTTTCCTAAGAAGCAATTTAACCAAAAGCGTTTTACTTCATATCCAGGCATACTTACGTGAATACTTCCATCCCCCATCCTGCAATGGCTGTGAAGAGCCTTGGGCCTAGATCCCTTGCCGGGTTCATGGCACAGCCACTGTTCATTCCCAAGGAGCAAGTAAGAACAATTATAAGAAGTCCTACTGCAATTGGCTCCAGGCCCTTAGGTACACTGTTATTTCTGCTGTCAAAAATAGCAAATATAGCCAGAAGAAGAACAGCTGTTGATATCACCTGCCCAATGCAAAGAAAAAAATATTGAATAAATATGTGCAGATTCCTTCCAATAATGAAAAGAGGGGTTATGGCAGCTCAGTGGATTGTGGTGGCTTAGACCTAGTATTTAGATTGACCCCACTATACAGAGTAGCAAAATTTGGAACCCTGTGCCTCTCTACTTCGTGGTAAGGTATCTGTGCTGAAAGAAAAAGATCAGAAATGTGCTGAGGACATTAAGGGGAAGGGGGGGAGAGGCAACAACCTAGTCTCTCCTGTGTGACATCTGATGCTTTGTTTCTAGTTATTTTTTCCCTATGAAATTAACAGTTCTGTTTGCGTGACTTTTGGTAGTTCTATCAGTTACATTGGTATCAAAATGTTGTATGTGACTATAGCTTACACTGATAATTTAGACTAAGTATGCACCACTTTATCCAGATATTGCATAAAGTAAGGGAAAAGTGAAGTCTGCAAAGTCAAAACCAAGCAGCTAAAACATTAGGAATTACCTAAATTAAGGTTGCACATGTAACTGTAACATGAACTCTGTATTGCGGATGCTAATTGAGCTGATAAAGGAAATTTTCTTGGCATTACTTTGATGGATGTGCTGCTTTGCTTAAACACCTTGTAAATATCGATTTTGCTAATAATTAACTTAGGGGGAAGCGGACAAAAGTTTCAGCCATGTCAAAGCATTTAATTTCTGTACTGATTTAAAGAAGCTTGAGTTTGGGTTTTTTATTATTATTTCAGCTGGTTTTAATTTTATTGTAAACCATCTGTGGGTAAAAAGCTCTCACAGAAAAGGCTGTTGGCTTATCCAAGAATCAGAATTGTCCTTCTTACAAAATTTCAAAACAATGTTTGCATTTTTTTGAAGCCAGATTGCACAGTCTTCAAGTCCTTTACGTGAGAAATTCCTGTGCCCCAGCAATCCCTAGTTCTTCGTATTTACTTATGTGGTATTTACTTCTTGTATGTCTGAAGAGGGCAGGTAAATTGTTTAGAAGTAGATAGAAGATACGAAACTCCATTTTTTTTTTCCCTGTTGGATAAGTGGCATTAGAGGATACAAATTGGAAATAAAGGGGAAAATTTTTTCAAATTCAGTCATTTCAAAACAAACCAAATAATACAAATCTATTTGCAAAGTGACAGTTGAAGAGGAGGCTTGTGGTAGCAGAAAACTCACTTGTTCAAGGTGTGTAAAACTGGCTGCTTAAGCTTTACTTAGGGAATAACAGGTCAACAAAATGGACTGGATTTTGAGGTAAATGGACATACCTCTGCTGAAGTTTATGGAGAAACATTGATTTATTCTGGGGAAAACCTCTTTCACATATTGCATTAAAGACATTCAGAGTACAAAAATTAATATGATGTATATGAAAAGAACAACTTTAAATTATCTTGCTTGTAAAATATGACTCAAATGTGACCCCTGTGAAGGGCACTGCATTATCATTGCTATTGTACACAGTGACATACAAGTAAAACAGGGAGATTCATCATACCTGTTAGAGATATGTGTATTGTTTCTTACTGTTTGGTTTTAGAGTTCTCAGTATGTTTATTTTGTGGACTTGAGAGTAAGTGCACTTACCTGATCTGCAAATCCATTTATGAGGGACAGATATGGAGCTGGATATGTTGCAAAGATATGTGCTGTTGCGTTGGGTCCTATGACTTCAAGTGTTCCATTGCTATATTCCATAAAGGCATCTGTAGAAAACAGCCATTACCTGGTTGCACTTCTCTGTGAACATTAGGTTTTCTAGAACTAGAATGGATGTGATATGTCTATGTACTTCATATTCTCCGCTGAAACTAGTTGTTTTTTCTGGGAACGTAGTTAACAGATTTGAGGTGATGCACTAATTATACCCTCCTGTCTCATCTCTCCTCCTGTGCCTTGAAGTACTTCTTTTATGTATCACAGCTTTCTAAATGTTGCTGTTGTTTCCTCTCCTCATTGCTCCAAACTCAGTGCCAAGGAGCATTTTCTGATTCTGAACACAGTTGCATTACTCTGGTAAAAGGTGCTGTATTTGACACAATGCCCTCCCAAAATGCATCCAGCCTCTTTGTACTGTTGTGGATTCCCAGCTACCAGGAATTACTGCTATTCCATTTGACAGCTGAGCAATAATGGCTTCTGGGAATGAACTCTCCTGAGAGACCTCCTGTTTTTCACTGTGTGGGCCTTATACCCTGCTATGCTAGTCATCCAAGGTGTGAGGAGAGATGCTACCCCCGAATCTTCAGTTCTTAGTGTATTTTTATAGATATTTTAAATACATGTATCTTTATATTTGTATATTTAAAGTATATTTCAATAACATGACTTCTGCATCAGAATAATTTGCTGCCTTGGCAAGCTCTGAAATGTTAGGAAGACATTAAGGTGAAGCACCCTAAAATCTGCATAGGCAGACATGAATAACGAATACTATGCCTATATTTCACTAGTGGATCCATTGATGAGGTGATAGTTGTGAGTAAAGAAACAGCTTCCCACCTACCGTGGTAAGCATGGTTAGCTTCTCTTGAAGCTAACAGGCAAATCTATTTCTCCTTGCCCCTGTTTTTTCTAGTTTTGCTTAAGGCTATGACATGGGTGCAGGGAACATTTAGTTGTTTACTTGGTTGGTCAGGCGCTCTCATTTGCAGTGTCAGATTATCTTGTTGCATTTAACTATTAGGGAAAAAATAAGGAAAAGAAAATGTCTCAGCTGTGAATTACTTTGTACACCTTTAGAAAAGCCTCATGTTTAGTAGTTAAACATGTATATTTCCTCACTCTTTCAGGCACACTGCTGAAAATGAAAGCACCTAGCTCAAATATCTGTATATGGGGAACATGGAGGTTTTGAGCTCCTATGCCTTTTTCTACCCATGAATTTTCAGTGGACCTTGATAAGTGAATGAACACTCTTCTTACAAGTTGCAAGAAGGAAAAAAAGTACTGAAGAGGGTTGGGAGTTAATAGGAACAAGAGGAAGGCAACATTGGTCTTGATCAGACATAGGGGTATGAGAAGATCCATCACTCCTGACTAACAAGAAGTCTCTAACCCTAGCCCGAAGTTCCTGATCTTGGCTTCCTATCCTACTGCTACCCTTTAGCAGAATGCAATGAATTTATTTCCAACCATATGTGCATGTTGACGTACTGCTGCGTCATGGCTGCAGCCCTAAACTTGGCTGTCTAGCTTGAGGAAGATTCTAGAAAATCCTGTTCTGGAATCCCACAGTTTCCAAATTCTAACGCTAACCTTAAAACAAACTCTTCCCCTTTCTCCCCATTCCAAATCCCAAACAAACTAACAAACCCCCCATCAAACTCAGGCCACTTAAACAGTTTCCTCAGTTCCTAAAGGTTTTTCTGTTCATGGCTAGTGCTAGCACTGAGTACCTAGCTGATACACAATGGGCATTTCCATTTTCATTTTTCCTCTGTTGCTCTTAGACCCAGCACTGTCTGCAGACATAATGCCCATCAGAGAGAGGCCTTGAAGGAGATGGGCTGGGTTAGTACAAGCAGTTTTGGAGTAGGTGGTTGAAGCAACTGATTGATCCAGCTGTGTGGATTCATCAAGTCAGGGAGTCTGTCACTATGTTTTTTCCTTCTGTGGCACTCTGTGTAAAATCAACAGCCTCAAGGATAGGGGTAACTTCCCCCCCCTTCTTTTCTTCCCTTCTAATATGTGACCCTTTTACCACTGTACCTGGAGTTCATTGCCTTGGAGAGCTACCTCTCTAGGGTGGCCTGATGTTTAGTCAGGGGGGACTTGATCTCATATCCTGTAACCTCGATGAACGATGTTGGTGATACTTGCCTACAGGCACTTGGATCAGGTCTTTAATGTTTCTAATTTGCTTGGAAGATGAATAGCCCTATATCCTGGCTATTAAGTAATTTAAAATCCTTACTGAGAAATACATGATCTCAAAGTATCTGATTTCCCATGAATAATTTTTCTAAATTTCAGAACTTTTCCTGAATTATTAATGTTTCACGAGAGTTGTAGGATACCCGGAATGTTTGAGCCTTCCCTCTCTTCCCCCTGCCCCCCCCCCCTTCCTTTTTTCTTCTTTATGGCTTTAGCGTCAATCCTGCCATTAGCCCTGTGTGAGCAGTTCTGTGCCTGCTTGGCATTCATTGAGAAATTGGGGCCTTAGAGACTGCCTGACCTCTAGTTTGTCCTGTGAGCATGTCTGAGGTGTACTCACCATAATAAATCCCAAAGACAGCTGCTGCTCCAGTGAATGCTCCCAGGAGTTGTGCTAATATGTAAATTGGTAATTTGGTCCATCTTAATCTTCCAGTCACGCACATGGCTAATGAAACGGCTGGGTTTATGTGACCACCTGAAAAATGAATCACAGAATAAGTCATATGGATGACTCAGATACATGAGAATAGGTGAAGGATTCGTAAAAACATAGATGCTTTTGAGCATGAGACTAGTACATGCTTTTCTAGCTATTGTTTTGCAATTATAGCCTGACTGCAATTAAACTGAAACAAATTACAGGGGAGAGGAGGAAAGCCACCACGATCTAGCTCCCCTCTTAATGTTTGCAGACTGTGCTATTTATCAAACTGCTGTCCTGCACTATATAATCTATAGACAACTCTTCTAGAAAAAGCTTAAGTCTGCCCTATTGGTTGTGATGGGAGGGTCCATCATTCTGCACATATTCTCTCTCCTTAAGTCTTTGGCTTTTTTTTTTTCAAGGGAGAATTGTGGCAGCAGAACATTCATTCAGTTTAGAGAGCGTGTATTAAGATTAAGGACTATTACTGGCTTGATCATATATCTTGAGGTAGATCTGGAGTACCTTGGGTTTAAGTCATGTTTATGACCCTGTCTTCAACCGGGGGTTACTTAGGAAGTCAGTTTTCATGAATATAAAACAATGTCAGGCCTGTCTAGCTTTGTGCTGACTGTTGGTGAGCTATGCCTAGGTAGGATCTGAGGACCGCAGTGTGTAGTTCTTCATCACACGTTTTCATCAAGCTGTTACACCCTCCAGAAAGGTCCATGACAAGAAAACTGGTAAAGTATTTGTGCTGAAACTGAATTATATGTCCTGTGGTGTTTTGGAGTAGCTACATATAAACTCACACATGGAGAAGATTTCAGTAATACTGGAATTCTTTGTGACAATTTTAGTTTCTAAAATACATCTATTATTACGTCATGTGCTGGTCACTTCCCTCAGTGTCTTTTATCAACACAGGAAAAAAAGTGTTGAATGCCTTTTTTTTTAATATATAAATATGTAGTTAATATTTAAGAAATGCAGATTGCCAAATAAACAGATGGAACAATACTCCAAAGTAAAAATACAGTAAACCTTAAGTTTTGCAAGAACATAGCAGATCCATTGCTTACCTTCCAGGTGAAGTCTCACTTTGGCCTCATGGTTATTGGAAAAAAAAATTAGCCTTTTTCTTTAATAAAATAACTAAAAGAGTATGACCTTTGTCTGTCAAAGGCTACTGATGGAGAAAGGGCCTCTATGTACAGTTTCTGTGTTTGTTTGCACTTCAGGTCAGCAAGTATTATATTATGAAATCCAGGCACCTTTGATACATAATGAACTGACAAACACAGATAACAAACTGGATAAAACCTTCTTTGTATCACTTCCAAAACTCTGACCTAGTGGCATCAGGCCTGAATTAATTTTGAATTCCTCACTGTATTTCAAATTCTTCAGCACAGAGCAAAGAGATGGCTGGCACCTTATTTAACAGCCCCTTGTGAATTTTGATGAACTGTTGTTTTGTCTTTTGTTCTTAACTCTGCCTGGAATTAATCATCTTCCTTTCTTTCAACACCTGATACTGTTCCCCACCTGTATGATGATTATGATGGGCAGGACAAGACATAAATAATAGAGATATCTAATTAACATTGCATCTGGAAAGGAAAAGTCTAGTTGAAGGCCAAATATGCTGACATAAGAGTTAAAAAGAGTCTTGGTTCCCGTGCCACTGATAGTGTCCTGGTTTAAAAAAGAACCAAAACACTTTGGATAGCATGTTCCTGCATTCTTTTGTAGCTCCAGTGATCACAGTGATCCAGACACAGAAGATTAGGTGGAGAAAAACAAAAAGGGAAATTTTTCTAGATAAGAGCTCAAAATCACCAAGTGTGCAGCCTATATATTTTATAGTACCATAAAGAACTGATGCAAACTATTTTAGCGACACTTAAACATGAAATGTCATGACCAAAAAGCCACAGAACTTGCTAACAAATTCTGTATAGCACCTGATATTCTGAAATGTCCACTAGTAATCATATGCTGGATAATCACAGCCTATTGAAATATCTGTTGCTATTCTTTTGCAAAGAAAATGCACTGTCTGCAGAATCCTTTGTCATGGGAAAAACACAGGAAGTGTAATACTGCAACATCTACAACTGCTCTGCCCTGCTGGGATTGAATTATTAATCTTCTGTATAATGGAGATTAATATCCCTTACAGATGCAAAGGTAGGGCAGGTTAGTGTCTATACAGGTTTGGGTTTTTTTCATGATACTGCATTAGAAGGGTTGTAGTTTAGTGTTGTAGTTTAGAGATGTTCAGGTAATAGGAATTAACTTCATGTTGTATTAAGGAACCATTCTGCTCTGTTTCAATGACAGGAACATGACTGCCTGTTTTTCAGTACCTTAAGCACTTTCTAATGTGAACTTAAAACTTCCTTGTGCACAGTGCCTTTGTAAAAGAATTTGTCAAAGAGAGGAGAAATGGCCGCACTGATTTCTGCTACAGCAGCTATTTATAATGGCCTATTTTTATCTAGTGATATCTGCCCAGATCTGCTTTACCTTTTTTTATGAAGGGTAAGAAATGCCTCTATGAAAGCTGGAGTACAAGGGCACCATTTGCTATAAGAAAGCAATACAAATTCCACATGCAACATGGAGTATTGTCTATTATAATACATAACACTGTAGTATTATGTAATGCATAACACTATTATACAGAACACTGTATACATTAGTATGTATTATAATGCATCACACTATATAATTCATTACACAACCCATCATTTTCTATTTTAAAGGGAGAATTTAAATGTTAAAACCAGTTATGCTAATGTTTCTGATATTAATTTGGCTAAACTGAATGGTGGAAATAGGAGAATAAGCACCATCCAGTATGGCACACATAGATACTGATCAGTTATCCTAGCTACAGGCAAAAGAAAGGCTCCCGACCCATATACACTGAGGAAATAATACAGCAGAAAGAAAGGGGCAATGACAGTACATTGACAGTGCATCGGAGTTTATCCCTAGTACTCGGTATTTTTTGCCTTTTCTGCTTTCTGTGATCTGCTGCTCTCTGAATCAGCAGACAAACAGGAGCAGACTTGCTATTGCCTAGTCATATGAAAGGAAGAGACTGCATTCTATAAGGTGAACCTTGCTCATTATACCCATTAGTGGGTCATTCTATGTTCTTCCAAGCTGGCAGCCATTTTAGCTGATGCCTCTACTGGATTCTGTAAGCTTTTCATGGTTATTTCCTTAAATGCAGTGCCTATCCTGTCCAGGATCAACTCTATTGACAGAATTTTCAAAGCAAGACCAAGCAGACTTCTGGCTTGCATAGACTATTTTCCATAAAAGCCAGACATGTGCCAATTTTGCACACTGTAGTTCAAATCAGAATTTGGTGGAAGATTTTGTCAAATGCAAAGAATAGAAGGAAACAAGAACACAAAAGATTTATGAGCAAAATTCTGATGCAGACTTTCCTGCTATTGCTGAATACATAATTGTTTATACCACGAAATGTAAGTAATTTAATAACATAGCCTTAAAACTGTGGCAATAAGTGCTATATAAGGAAAAAAGAGTCACTTACCAGAAACTCCCCCAGACACATACACTGCTATGGTGACTGCCATTGCAAATCCAACCGATACCGTCATAGGCCCACCATGGACTCCTCGGCTAAGGACAGCCTGGCCCACACACCCACATCCAAGCATCTATATTTTGAAAGAGAAATGTAAAACCATGTGTGTGTCTGTCAAATGTTGTTGGTTAGTTTGCAACTTCTTTTGCTGTCCAGATGTAGCTGAAAATTTTGTTAAATATTAAAACAGTGCTGGAATTTGAGATTAGTAGCATGCATGCCATTGTTGCCTTTGCTGCAATGAACATTTCCTTTTTTCCCCCTGCTCTGTGACCATGTTTGCTTGTAAGGACCTCTGTCTTCCCCGGAAAAGAGCTTTCAAGTACAATGATGGGATACAGATCAGAGTTTGGAGCCTAAACAAGATCTCACAGCCTCTACAACAACTCTCTGTATCTGAAAGTGAAGAAAGAATTAATTCTGTGTGGTAAGTTTTTTTGTTTCCAGATTGTTACAAGCAATGAAAAATTACTATACAACTTATGAAATACTGTTCAGAAAGCTTCTAATGTTTAATGCTGAAACTCTGGAAGGAGACAACTGTCTGGAAATCAGAGTATGTGTTACTGTTATGCTGCCTTGATATCATATATTACTTTATCAAAATATTTCACTGGCTCTGTAGCTTGAACAATTAATTGAAGTGGAGATACCTGAATAATTCACACTGGAGTATTCTCAGTGGATTTAAACTAGCTTCTATTTTATGTTGGTTCTCAGAATGAAATTCAGCAGCACATTTAAATGTATGCTAAAGATCCTATTTATCCTGTTCTAAAGCTTCTGCTTAGCTTCAGGTGTGCATTTAGGTCCTATTAAAGTTGGTAGGAAAGATTTTCAGAGTTACAAAAGCCTTCAGTTTAAGATAGACTAGCTGATCGTTTTCTGCCAGAAATCAGTTTGTGTCTTTGAAAATCTCCTTTTTAAATTTATGCCCGAGTGCTTTGTTGAAGGACCCAGCGCTCTGTGGAAGATATCAAATATCTGTAGTCAAAAAACCTTTGCTTCTTTGCAACTGTAAGTGATCTGAATTGTACTGGGACAATTCTGGGGTGGGACTAGATTTATCCTGAACCTTAATCCACTTTGATGTTAAATCGGAAATATATAGATAGGTATATAGATATATGTATCTATATGTGTATCTATGTACTTTGGTGGTACATGGGAATCTGATTTTTTTCTTCTTATAAAGTCATTCCATCTTAGTCTGTGTAATTGCTTTGGTTAATATCCTTGCTTTGCTTTAGTATTCTGCCATTACTGCCAAACTACAACACTGCTTGTCACCAATGCCTGTATTACAAATATTCTTTCTAACTCTGCATATTTAAATACATAAAATCTAGTTCTTTTAGAAATCCTTATTTTCAGTTGCAAGGTAGTTGCATTCAGAAACTGCAAAGTAATGGGAAGATCTCTCCTGCCTTAGAAATAGACTGTACCAAAAAGGTTTGGTGATTTAGGTTTAACAAGCAAGTCCTGCTAGAATAGCTGCAATTTAAATGGGGGGGGGGGGGATATCATATTTTTGTTCCCAAGGGTTTTAACTAACACCAAAATGTGACAGAAAAGCTCTCAATAAAATTATGCTCTTAACCAGCAATGCAGACAGAGTTTCTGTTATGAGTGCCCCAAGATTGTGTCATATACCCAGGTGCAGTTCTTGCCTTGAGGTTATAATTATGTAAGCAAACAAAGCACTGGCTGGTGCCAAAGTGTTACAGCTGTCAGGTTAAGTAAAGGTAGGGTGGAGGTAGATAGCAGTAGTTTATTGGACTGTATAATTGAAAGTTGCAAGACTTTGCAACTTGACTATGCCAAGCTGCAGTCAACTACTGTGCAGAGGATGACATATGCACTGTGTACACTGAGATGCAGCCTGCATTCAGGCAAGCAGTTAGATCCGCAAGCATGCGCTTGTGTTCTAAAATGGCATAGACAGTTGCAGATACAAAGAAAAGGATATTCTTTTGAAAGTATTACTAAGGATGTTATAAGAAATAGGAATAGGGGAGATGGGTATAAAAAAGGGTAAGGGACAATAACATCTCTGTGTATCAACTACAAATTCACAAGAAGAGGGAAGGAAATAAGAGAGGGAGGCTCTGGCCTCCCTTCCCTAATTACCAGAACTGAGAAGAATTGTACAGAAATAGCTGTGTGTCACTCTTGCATAATAACTTCTGCTCTGCATGTCATAGGGAAATACGCAACTACAGATGCTCCATTTTTGTGCTTAACTAGCCTCAGAAAGCTCAGTCTACAAACAAGAAAGCATGCAAGCCAGCTCAAACACAGCTGCACTGGCTTCTTGCTTGGTGGATGTTGGTGACTGCCTGCTCATGAACACTATTGCAGGTCCAGTCAGAGTGTGCCCATTTTGGGATGGGGAAACTGGGCACTGAGCCTATAAATTTGAACCATGTGACACTAATATTTTCTCCATCTGCTGTCATTTTTAGGAAGAGAAAACTTTTTCTCATACCTACTGTAGCTAGGTTGACATAACTGGAAACTATCGCCTAATCATGTAATTACAGGGGCAGCAATTTAATACCCTGTGAATCTCTGCTTGGCTGAGTTAAGACTGACTAGATCATCAAGTTGTAACTAATATTCTAAGTTTCTAGGCCAAACTCAGCCATCAGCTGCACCCACACAAATTCATTGAATGAAGCACAAGGAATCAGTGGGAATTTAATTTACAGTAGAATATAACCAGATCTCTTTATCATATCTTAGGTTACTAGGCTTTCATCTTATCAGTTGTCTATAGCCTGACCTGCTTAAATTGAGTAGAATAGCTTCAGTACTAACTTTTGTTCACAAAGTAATGATATTACTGTCATAAATAACACGTTTGGGTGTGGAATAGCTGTCTGCACATTCCCTGCCAAAAAATCTTGCTTTGTACACATTAGAGCCTTTTCTTTGTCATGTGTAACAAGGATAATGTTAGGAAAGGAAAACAACTGGCCTCCAATGAGCATAATGTCCTGTTACTCCCTGAAAGCTTACAGAATTTTATCTCTACCACATTCATCAGAGCATCTAAAGATCATTTTGTTTCCATTTGTGCTATTTTCAGGATTTTTGTAAATGCTTGTAATAGCATTTTTAGTGTAAATAGGATTTCCTGCCACATTGGAATGCAGAATTTTAGGTAATTTATTTTTCTACATGGCCTATAAAGCTTTAGACATCTTAAAGCAGAATGCTTATATAAAAATAAGTTCCCTTCTGATCAAACAGATCTGGTGGTAGTGTGCACTCATAGCCATACACTTAAACATTACAGAAGCAGTCAAATCTCCTGCTTTTTAACAGTGTGGAGACAATGACAAGTTTTTTGTTATATCTTGTACTTCACCAGCTGTCAACTTGTGGTGAGGGTACCACAGATGTCCCTGCAGGCAGATACAGCCTCAGTGGCCACACAGCTGGATGTTGCTCTACATGAATACAAGAACTCGGGGTGCTACATGGAATACAGAATCAGCAGTTACCAAAAAATAATGATAAGCTGTTACAATTTCAATTGGGAAATCCTAGAAAACCAGTTCACAATTCCCATTTCAGTCAGTTTTCAGGACTCCCTCCACCAATTCACAATTTTGTGAGGATGCCTTTGTTCAGGTAAGGCAGCAACCCTGCCCCTTTCCCATGTCACGCTCCCACCTGTGTTGTCCTGCTGTTCCCCAGATGGGCATTTCCTACTAGCCTATTGCCTGCTCCCCTTTCACACTGGACAGCCCTGAAGTACTGCTCTGGATTCTGCCACATGTGCTTATGTTTCTGCACAGTGCTGGGAAGGGGATGGACCCTCAGGAGCAGTGCAGTGAATTAGGCTCAAGCTGTGTGCTTGCAGTGAGCGTCCTGCTATCCTGAAGCCACCTGTTCCAAGTATGCCCTAGTATTTCACTTCTTAGGCAAACCTCTATGACTTCTCCAAGCAGCCAGACTTTAAATGGCCTATTTATGCCCTTAAAAGCAAGAATAGGGGTAGGAAGAGTCAGAAAGTCCCTTGGAGACTGGAAGAAGTGATTGTTTTCCCTTCGCTGCAGGTAGGGATCTCTGACCAGAATTGCCCATGAAAACTTTAGAAGTTATTTGTGATTGCCTCTAGCCTTTTTTCCCCTGCTCCCCCTTAATATGCCCATATACAGTTAGTTTGAGTGTTGCCTACAAAAGTAGTAAGTAAACTTTTCAGATATGAGACAATTTCTAAATTGATGGTGTCCTCCTAAAGGTCTTTAATTTGGAGTGTGTTTTAGAATTCACTTTCATTTCCAACCTCTTAAATTCTGAAGCAGGCTTGCTTTTTAAATAATCTATTGCATTTCATAATAAGGTATTTTATAAAGGATTAGAAACTTTCCATACAGAGCCATATTTTTGCTATGTTTGCGTATTACGTAGGGCCTTGGTTCAGACTGGGCTCCTAAACACACTTTCAATAGAGATGGTAAGGCTAACAGCAATGTGTTAGATATATGAAAATTCAGGCCTGTAGCTGAATGAATTGAATGTGCAAGCTTTCAATTTGCAGGAAGCTCCTGTTCTTCCAGGAAAGAGCAATCTTTATCTAATTTCATGTTTAATATTTGCTGTCTTTTGTTAAATCAGTACTAAGAATTTTAGGTGAGATAAGATAGAGTTTACCAGTCACGTAGCTGTTAAATACTTTAAAAGCACATGCCTCTTATTTTATCATTAATTAAATATTTTGGTGGGGATGGGAGGATTTCTGTACATTATGATTTAATCAAACTTGAAGTAATAAAAAAATCACTATATCCATTCTCCTGATGATCTAGTGGGATATAACCAATATCCTCTGGGGTTCAAATGGATTTCCCTTTTGAAACCATTTTTTAATGACAGACAGCATTACTTCTTGGAGACAAGAATGTAGATTTAGTAAGGTTTTGGATGAATTGTGTATATAAAGCTTTTAAGACACACATAAAGATCAGGCTCAGATTGCTCTGTGGGAAAAACACAGTGAAAATATTGAGGCACAGACTGTGCTGTGGTATATAAGCTGACACTTTCAGATTTTTATTATTCCTTTTGCACGTGCAATAGGAGACAAATAAAAGTTTGAAATCACCTAGAGAGAATGCAAAGGTCTGTATTCTCTTGTATTTTATTATGATTAATATTGTACTCTTCATCCTGAAATGCTAAAGTGCTTTTCTTTCCTGAAGTCTATATGGCAACTGGTTTGAGTCAGTTTCTTCAGTGAAGGTTATTTTTATTTTCTTACTATGTTGTAGGAATTCAGGAGAGAAAGCAAATGAAATATTTCACATTCAGATGCAAGCTTTCAGGAGTGAAATGTGGCCCCTTGCAAAGGGGCTAGGAAGAAATGGCTAGACAAGGGAAGAAATTCTTACCTAGTGTCTTGAGGAGAGAAAGAACCTATTCACGTGTTGCTTCCCTCCCAGGTTACTCATTTATTCTTGAGTTGAGATGTGCCTCTCTGCTTTGCTTCCTACACCAACTGAAAAGGTTAAAATCTTCCTGTACTCTTAAAATGTGTTTAGTCTCTGTAGCAGTGCTTGGGGTATTATCTGTACTATTCAGACATAGTGCAGGAGCGGGCAAGGCAGCACGGCAGTTTCTGAGAAATAAGGTTTTCTGTCTCTTAAGAGTGTAAGGGTACATGTAGCTTGTTTTACTCTTTCCTTTGGGTGCGGGAACCGGGTGGTGGGATCTTTGCTGTGTCCTTGCGGTTGGAGGTGCATGGTTATGGGTAATTAAAGCCTCAGCATGTTGTCTTCCTAAGCTGTTTTCTGTTAGGAAAAAAAACCCACCTTGAATGCTTTTAATGTTAAATAACCCTTTGGGTCAGAGAAACTGTGTTAAGTTTGCCTTGGACTGGGAGAGCTCGCAAGAATTCTCTTTTATCCAAAATGATTTATTGAACTGTTTTGATCGCAGAGATACAAACTCTCTGTATGGCATGAACTGCACTTACTGTCTTTCATTCTGTTCCCCAGCTGTTTGTCAGTTTTTAAAATTATTACTTTTATTATCTTTTTTTATTTGGCAAAACCTGAAAAAGCATTCTATAAATTTGTGTCTAAAACACAAATACACGTGGAAGAGGATTGTTTGTGGCTGTGCCCTTGCAGTTGAATGTTGGAAGGATGCAAGTGTTCTGTAGGGACTTTTAGCTGAGCCTCAAACTTCATCCCTATAGGTGCAAACTTTCTGGGGAGGGGGGAAGTATCTACAGAAAAAGATCTTGGAAAACTAATTCCAGCATGCTGGAGCCCTGTGGTTAAATGAGAGCTGAGGGTAGACACTGCTCATTTGTAGCATTATATAATATTTAAAAAGCTGTTGAGTGGCTTATCAAAATACCAGTTTAAGTTTTAATAACATTTTTAACTAGTTTTGACAAACTGAAGTTCACTGTCTAAGAGGCAATTATATAAGATTCTGTACTCCAGGAAGTTCATTGCTGACGGCAAACAAGGTAGCTGTCAAACTGCTGCCATTCAGTTTTCTACCTTAAACAAAACTCATTGTTTAAGCAATTTCATCCTATACAGAATCTTCCTTTCACAAAAACTTAGAACATGGAATTTATCTTTTTTTAAAAACTTAGTATTAATTTTTTATTAAACACTTACTTAAGGAATGAATTATCGAAAGCTACATTTGCTTTCATGTAATAACATTGTGTAATGAGGATTCTAATGTATGCTATATTACTGTGCTGTATTGTAATTAACATGCACTGGAATGTAAGGCCATAAAGAGATATGGAAAAGTTGCGTAAATTTTAATCTTCTAGACTAGGCAAATCCATGGAATGTCATATTTACAAGATTTTGCAGGCAACACCCAAACTCCACAACAAAGCAGGAGTGATACTTACAAAACTAAGTAGTCAGAATATGAAAACAAGATAAAAAGGTTTTGATGAGCAAAAGATAAATAGCCTTCCTTCTCATTAGTTGAATTATTTGCAATATGGGGTGTCATGCATTTGTTTCATGCTCAAGCACTACACCTTTACACACGCAAACAAACATTTGCTTCAGTGGGAGTTTCGCAAGAGGCTCCCCACCTCCAGCTGGAGGCTAAGCTTTAGGGTAGGAATACTTGCACTACCCACCTGTCTTTACATGCTAAATGGAAGCCCATGTTCTGTTTCAACAAGGAAGCATACACTGTTCTGGGCTCAGGAGACACTGGCTCCTGTGCAGCTTCTTTCTGGGAAACTGTGTTTGGTAAGATGCTCTTAAGAGAGACAACGAAATAAACAGGTGAGCAGAACTGGTAAAGGAAGCCACGTGGCCAATTTGGCATCTCTCTTTTTTTGGATACACTTAATGGCATAAGCCAGAGTAAATCCTGTTTTGTTTGAGAGCAGTGCAGCCAAATTCCAAAGTGTAAATATGGAGAGAAGGATGATTAAAAGCAGAGAGGCAGTTGAATAGGTGAGTTGCAGGCAGGCTCACTGAAAATTCACATAAACCATCTGCCTGGTGCAGCATGGCTTCCTGACACTCTTGTGCCTGGCACCCAGATGTTGTCCCGCAGAGGAGCCCCAAGAGGAAAAGCACTGAGCCAGGAGGCATGCTGGAGAACAAAAAGCTCTCCAGAGAGCTCTTTCACAAGGTGGCCTCAGGCAGCCCCAGATACAGGCTGAGGCTATATCAGAGGCTGGGAAATGTGTGTGTGCACAGTGGCCTCTCAGACACCATGAACAAAAGGGGTGGGTGTTCTCCCACCTCAGGAATCTATTGCCTAGGTATAGCCTCGGGGGGGGGGGGACCAGTCCCACAAGTTGTTTCCAAACACACTGTGTATACATTGTCTATAAAACAGTTGTACTGTTTTCAAATGTTCATTGAAAACTCTGTGCGTAGATTGTTGTGGGGATTTTGGTTCGGGTTTTTTGTTTGGTGTTTTTTTTTTGATATTTACCCTAAACTACAAATGGTACAATTAAACTTTAGGGGTTTGCCACGTGACATCACCAAGGTAAATACAAGAAAGGGGCAGAAGTTCACAGATCATTTGCAAATACCCAGCATAATACATGCTCCCTGTTGCCTGTACTGCAAATATAACTTAGTGATGTTAGAACTGCATTGCTCCATTTGTTTCATAGAAATCACATAAGAGGTGAAGTGTAACATTTTCTCAGGTTGATGGAACATTATAAAGTGAACACGGTATCCAAAGCTCATTGTAACCAAACTTACATGCAATTTGCATCTGGTTATGGACTGTATAATTTGGGGTTCCTGCCCCGGTTCTTGTTCCAGAGTGTAATTAGGGAAGCTGTGCTATGCTTGGGGAGGCTTGATGCTGAAAGAAATACGTGTTTCCCAGCAGAATGTCTAAGCGAAATAGCCTACTCACCAGCAGGATTACCCAGGCAGGTGGTAACAGCAGCTGCTCTGTATACCATCAGATCTGCCTATACAGCAGGGCACTTCCAGGTTCCTAGGGTTTAGTGTTTCTCACTGAACCCTCAGGGGTTGAAGGCAGGTGCTTTGGTAAGCAGAAAGAGAGGATCACACACATTATCTGTATTGTCAGGTTGTGCAGCGCAAGCAGCTGGTTCAGATAACCTGACTGTGACATCTCAGGAGGGATTACTCGGGAGCATCTCCAGTCTGATCCACTGAATTGAGTATCCATTAATGGTCAGTACATTTGCTGTGATTCTGGATCTCACATTCCACTTTAGTTTCTTCTGAAAAGAATTCAGTTTATGTGCTCTGAAACCATGCTGCAAGGCAAACCACAGCATATTAAGTAGGGATGACCAAGAAATGCTACCCAAACTGTAAACCCACTGACTTTCTCCAGGCCTGTTGTCTCAAGTCTGTTTAAGATCAAGCAGAGTCCTCCTCACCCACAGGTGAAGGCTTGAGGTTTGTCTCAAGTGACTGATTTTATTTTCTATATATCCTGAAATTAATCTTAAAGTTTCTACGTTTTCCAGTTTGGGGCAATAATGTTGCAAGGTTTGGGTTTCCAAAGATGGTAGTTCAAGCTCTACTCAACATTACAGACCACAGGCTATTAACAGTATGTGGTCTGTGATTTTGTTCTCCAGAAAAAAATAGAAATAAGTGATTTGGAGGACAGAATTACACCCAGCTAACTTCCAGAGGTGCTAGGTTGGTGACAGAATTAGGTATGGTCAGTTAGCATTGAATTCCAGATGAATTCTGTTGGTAATAGAAAGGCTCATCCTTGCCTCGCTCCCTGGCATGGGTGCTCCCCACAGGCTATAAAACCCATCACAGTGACATAAAATGGATTTCAGCAAAGATCTGATTCAACTGTGCTGTAAGCTGTGGACTCTGGTCTCACTTTCACTTTGTAACAGGAATAAGACATAGTAATAGGATGGTGGAAGAAAATTACCACTTCTTTTGCATACACAGTATCTGTTTTTCAAGGATTTCTGCTCTCTGACTTACCATGTGCCCTTTTCATTAGCTCCAGTCTAAGTTAAGGGTTTAATATTTATCTGTTCTTAAAGAGAAACTACTTACTAGCTGACAGAGACTGAAAGCAATAGCAGTAAATAACAGCAAAGTCAGTTCATTCACAATAAATGTTTTGTACTGCCACTAACTTGTGCAGTCTAAACACACATTGAGATACCCAAGCACTGAAAAAATTGCTTTTTAATCCATGTGAGGCTCTTCTCTGTTTTAAACCAAGGTTGAAATCAGAAAGGGTAAACCAGAATTGAGAAACTCGGATTGTCAACAATTTTATAGCTTCATTTTCTACTACATTTGTGTGGTGAATACACTAGAAAATGGACTCTGGATTTGCATTTCCTTCTAGTCTTGTGCTGCAGGACATTAAATAATAGCATTTGTGGTCTAATCTGCACTTTAATATGTTTTCTTTACTTGCTTAATTGTATTGATGGACAGAGGAGGATGATCTTGCGTTGAGGACAGAGTACTGGAAGTCAGGTGATCTGGGTTATATTCAGAGTTCTGCCGCAGGCTTCCTGTGCAGTCTGCTGTAATCAGGTTTGCTAATATATCAAATGAAGATAATGACATTTCCCCTCCTTACCAGGGTGTTGTGACACTTAATTCATTAATGTTTGTAAAGTGCTTTGTTCTCCTTGCTTCTAAATGTGCTCCTTACTGTAATGATGTCTTATGGATGGTATTAAATTTGAGAATAATGTTACTTTAGTGCCTGTGCACTTCAGCTGGCTGAAGTGTAGTAAAGACCATTATTTTCATGTATTTTATGAGGTACTGAAATTTTTTAGATGACTTACTTGAAATTTAGCTAAAATATAGTTACAGTTGTAAAACACACTGTCAGTGCTATGCCTGCTTCTTTTTATTTCCTTTTTCCTCTCTCTATGAAATATTTAGCAATAAGCAACACTGTTTTGTTCAGACTGAAAGGACGAAGAAAGAGTTTGGCATGAATACTCTAGCTGCTCGACTTCCAACTCTGCTACTGAATCTGCTCTCTACCCTGGTAAATCACAGGGAAAAGCTCTGTGTCCCATTGCAAAATACACAGAAAAACTGAGCAAGAAATTAAGTAAAACTAAATCTGAGTATATGAAAATGAGGAATTTTGGCATTTACCTAAACTGTAGCTGTACCACAGGACCAGGAAACTGTATAATTTATGTAGTACAGTTAAACCAAAAGCCCTCTGAATGTTTGGCAGTGCAACTTCCAATAAATTCACTGCAAATCACACAGCTAACTTTCTATATTGCATGGGAAAATAACTTGGCTAAAATTCTCTTAATGTGAAATACAATGTATTTGTTAAAGCACATGGAAGTTGTGCACAGAAGTGGAACTAGAATAAACTGCTGAGCTTTTTCAAAACAAAAGCAAGCATATTATTAACATTCATTGTGCGTACTTTGATTTTTCACAATGTGGTAGCTCACTGAAATTTTGCTCCTAGATGAAATCAAATGCTTATTAAACAATTATAATAAATACAGCTATCTTTTTTTAATAGCCAGTGATAATTACATCAGATGAAGAAAGGAATTACAAACTTACCGTAAATAGAAGCAGTTCATTCAAGGCTGTACAATGTTTGTCAGGCAGTAACCACGCTGCTGGTACAGTACAAGAAAAAGCATACATGTCCCCTTACAAGCACTGCCCAGCATTAGATTAGTAGGAAGAAAGGAAAGCAGCTGACACTTACTATCAGTATAAAAGTTCCCAGGAATTCTGAGAGGGCTTCTTTAACCAAGCTGTTCTTCAAGGCAAATTTCTCCTTTAAACTCCTTTTGCTTTTCCGGCTCATTTTGGCTTCCTCTATTGCTCTGGTGCCCTAGTTACAAACACACACAAATTTTGTTCTGTATTTGTCCCTGCTTCAGCTGAACTTTGACACTTTTACTTATACATTGAAATATGAGATATCATCTTGTACAGCCAGTGAAATCATCTGACTGCAGGCATTGACAGAACCAACTCAACATGCCCTAACAATTCATCATGAGTTTTCCATCCTGTGTCTTCTGAGTACACTTCTATTTTTACTGGCTAGATAATACCAGTAAGTTCACAACCAGAACTCTTCTTTTTTTCTTGGAGAATGGATTAATCATTACCTTTTCTGCTTTCCGGTAAAAATGAATAAAATGTTGCTCCTGTCACCTTGATCAAAAAGAAAGGCAAAAAGAGAAATCACAAAGTCAGACACCAAAATAGGGTTGAAAATTTCCCTCTGACCTAGATTGGGATTTAAACCATGCTCTTATTGGCTGTCCAAAACCTTTTCAAGGGGAGGTTGTGAAAGAGTGAATGCTTTAGAGAATGCTGTGCTCTAGCCTGTAAACAAACACTTCTATCTTGTCATTTCTGCGGGATTTCAATGACTAATGAAGAATCTTACCTTGGCCTGTAGTATGTTGAAATTGCGTATCCACCCACAACCCTCTTTTTGGATTAAATGCCTTGCTCTCTAGTGACCCGTCCTGTTTACAGAAGAGCAATGAGGCAGAATAAATTAGGAACATTTAATGAAATCTCCTTCGGTCCAGCGGCTCCCTATAATGCAATATAGGCAAGTGAGGCACTATATGTCTCCAATATGTTTAGCTTAAAAATGCATAGATGCTATAGTATGAAGCATGATAATATTATGTTCCATGATCTTAAGACGTGAAGTTGCTGAATATATCAAAGAATCAGACCTTCTAGGAAAAAAAAAAACAACTCTTAATCTCTCAAGTGTCTTGTATGGTTTATCAGATGTGATACTGACTTGACTAACATGCTGTCTGGGTGATTTACAAGTTGTTTTTGTCATTTGACTCGACACCAAAACCTTAGCCCAGTTTTGGTAGGTTGTTTTGGCAGATGTAGATGCTCAGTGCCTTGGTTTCTGTGTTTCCTAAACCTTTTTCTCTTTGGTGGTAAATGTGTTCAGGTCTGTCAGTACTGCTGTCTGCTGTGAATAGGATGGAGCTTTACAGGACTGGGCAAATGGGTTCACTTCTGTTACCCCATCAGTGCTCTTCCTTGCCTCCAACTAGGACCTGATGTGTGTTCCCTACATTTACCACCAGTTCCATTTTTTAACCATCCAGTTCACCCCAGCACCCAATTTTAATCCTTAATCACTCTTCTGTGTCCCTCTACTCACCTTTCTCTGCCTCCACGTTTAAGTACTGCCCTGCCTTTAGTGACTGAGAAAATGATGGCTTTGTGGCAAGCAAAGCTAATGTGTTATGACTCCATTTGTACGAGTGCTGCATGAGCCACGTGAGCACCTGTGCAGCAGCAGGGATGCTCTTGGGCAGGAGTGCTACACGTCCTGCCTGTAGTGCAAGTCAGCACTTGCACAGACAGCTGAGAGCTGACTCTGGGAAGCCCCTGAAAATAGCCTGTGTTGTACAATGCTTTCAAAACCTTTACCCTACACCACTGCAAAACAAAGATATTATTCAGGATGTTAATTGTCACAGCATGCTAAAGTATATGTTTATTATGTCTGTGAGAGAAGTCTTTCAGAATTATGTATACAGTAGGGCTGAGGGAGGATGCTAGGGAGGCCATTCATTACAGCAGGAATGAGATAAACCACTTCCTCTCTTCCAGGAAAATGAGAAATAAATAAATATGCTTATAAAAGCAATTTTTAGTTGTATGTCCATAGCAATTCTTTCTTTTTGTGCAGATGTAGGTCTCCCTCACACAGCAGTATGCAGATACCTCTTAGTTTAGTTTCATAACAGGTGTGAAGGCATTAATGCTATTTTTCAACTAACAGTAGGGCAATAACATGTCAGAGACATAAAGCTTTACTCATTTGTCCAGATCATGTTAGCTTCCTTACAACAGTTGTCTTTAAAGGGTTGAGAATCGGCACAAATACACATATTTTACATTTGCTTCCTTCAAATTTTCTTCAATGCTTTATCGAATTCGTACGATTTAACTCCACTAATAAGAAGCATGATGCTAAGTTAGAACAAAGGTCCTTCTCATTTCCATAATCAGATTCAAACAGGTGCTGTATGAAAGTATAGGACATAGTACATAGGAGATGATTGCTCCCTTGGTAAATCCTTCCAGCTTTTGCCAATTGTCAATTTAAAGTCTCTGCTACACTTTGGACCCATTTTCAAATAGAAAAGGGGACAGAACAGGAAATTTGAATTAAGTTTCTTCTTTTATTGTATTCAGAAAAAGGTTCTCAAGACATCTCCCAAATCTAACAAATGTGTACCTAGCATTACAAGAAAGACAAGTAAAATGTAAATATAAACACTGTGAAAGCTTTGTCCTTAATTACTAGCCCATATGATCCATGCTCTGTGTCACTGCCTTTTAGTCACAGGCAATGGGCCACCTGGTTGAACAATGGAAAGAAAATACACTGTGATTACTGTTTCCTACTGATCTCCCTCACCTGGGCCCTGCTCCCAGAGCCATAAAGGTAAGGACAGTGGCAATGCCACCCATAAACATTGACAGCTATGTTTTCTGAGGGAAGAAAATGCAGATGTTCTTCAAAAATTGAAGTTCATGTAAGCAAGGAGCATAGGAATAGGATGAGGTCTGTCAAATGCAGACCCACAACAGAGCTGACCAAGAAGATTTTAAGATTTTGCCGAGAATGTGGAAGAACTAACATAAACTCTTTTCAGAATCTATCACTAGAGGAGTCCTGCAAGAAAGTAGGTAAAGCAGCAGAGGCTGAAAATGTAGAGGAAGTGTTCAAGGTGCTTAACTCCACAGCTAAAAAGCTGGAAGAATTATTTGCCCTGCTAAAGAACCAAACGTTAGGTGGACTGAGGGTGAGGAACTGTCCTCAAATGAATTGTCAATAAGAAAGACTTCAAGAGAAATTGGTAAGTTAAACAGTAACCAATTGCTGGAGCTGTGTAATGTTTCCACCAAGGATTCAAATGTTCAGCTACTGAAGTGCTAGTGCCAGTGGGTTGTTTTTTGCTGAACCTCATCCTAATGCCAGCAAAATAGAACATAGGAAATGTACCACTGATCCACTGGTGTTTCAAAAGAGCCCTCCAAGGGTGATCATGGACACTACAAAACGGTCAATGTGACTTCTATGACAGGAAAATTAGAGGAACTAATGTCAAGAATAAAATCATTAAGACACACAGATAAAGCTCTGTAGAAACATCCAAAGGATTCCATTAAGGGAGGGTGTGCCTCACAAATCTATTGGCATCCTGTAAAGACATCAAAAAGCATGCTGATGATATTGTTCATGCTTTACATGTGATCAGTGTAACCTTAGACTGCAAAACTAAGACCCTTGGGATCCTTACCCAAAGGCATTCTGGACTGAACTATTTCTTCTCTTGCCTGTATTCAAGCAGAGCAGGAATTCACACAGTGTATATAACCTAACCATTTTTATAGTAATCTTCACTCCTATAGAAATAGCAAAGTAGAGAATTATGCATATAGCTCCCACAGTTTAAATCCCATGGGTAGCAGCATATACTGTGCAGAATTTTTAATAGCACATTATTCAGAGTATCACATAAATTGTTATTACTGATGTAATAAAACCTAAACCAACACAGCTGGAGAGACCAAGGCTATAAATACACCATTTATTTTTTTTGTATTGTGACAATATGGGCCAAGTTATTTTTAAGCTTAAATCTGATTTTAGTTCAATTGGGCAAAGTCTGACTGTGTACATCTACTATAATTGACATCCCTGGTCAAATGCCTTTACCTAATTTATGTTTTCATACAGAAACTGCTGCAAGGTCCTTAAAGGATGTTCTATGGCTTATGGACTGATGCTGCTGCTGGAGGACTCAAAAAAAAAAAAAACAAACAGGTGAGGAAGTTCTGAACACATTGTAATTCAGTGTTCTAAGGTTTTTGAGTATGTTAACCCCCCTATTTCTTTAGTTCTTGTGTTTTCTGATCATCCCTCTGTCTCTGCGGTAGTCTGTGGTGAAAAACTGCTCATGGGGGCAAACATTTGCAACATGCAGCTCGGGTCTAGCTGAGCACACCTTGGAGGGCAGACGAGATGACCTCTTGAGAATTTCTTTGTTCTTTCTTCTCTGTGATTTCAGTGTCACAATAAAACACTTCAGATCATGAATATGAGATCAAAACCACACAACATACGTATGTTCCAGGCTTTTTGCCAGTGATCTTTTAAGGCCCATTTGAGAGCTTCTTGAAGTCCACTGTTGCGGACACTAATTTCAGGGAGAATTAAATTGGGCATTTTCTAAAGCAGGACCCAAAACTTTTCTTTGTTGGCAATTGGCTGGGCACATTATTGGGCCTCAGTGCGTAACTGATGTTACTACATGTGTATTTATGTTGCCTATAGTTATATAACTGAGGACAGTAAATTGTCGGTATATAACATGGGCCCTGAGAGCTTCCAAGCCAGTATAATCTCCGTGATAGCTGAGCTTGCACAGTGGGGCACAGATAATATTCCACACCAAAATGCTGCAGGACAGGACTGTCAGTGCTGGCAAAACGTGAATGTGTTAGCGAAGTGCAGTACAGATGTTGCGGGCACCAGTGTTACGTGCTGGGCTCTGCTTCCTTCTGAATTTGCTGGGTATGGCTCTAGTATAAACTTATCTGGTAGGTTACAGTATGAGAACGTCTGACTTTCTGAATGCATCTGGAAAAAGATCATTCCAGTACAAGAAGAATTCTCTTTTAAGGAATAGATCAGTTTTGTGCAGACAAATGCTTTGGTGCAGCCAGTTCCCTGTTTTTTTTCTCTGCGTATTCCCTCAAACAGTAATGTACACAAGCAGTAAATGTAAGGGAGGATTATTGACAGCATGTTCTTTTTAAAATAACTCCTTCCTTTTCCAAATTCCTTACAAAAAGTTCTCAAAATAGAGATAAAAATTTAAATTCAGCTTTGCTATTAAAAGCAAAAGATATCTTGGTAAATATATCTTTGCAGAGTGGAGAAAACCTCAAAGTATATCCAACACGCTTTGCAGTGATTGAAGACCTACTGTTTTCTTAACCCAAGTGGGACAGATTATCAAAACCTTTCATCTTTCTACAGGGCACAGATTCCCTACAGCAATGAGACTTATGGCTACTTGTAGTGTTGTGAAGAGCAGGAGATCTGAACCTACCTAATTAATAAAAGAAATTTAACATGAACGCCAAAGATAATGACAGATTTGACTCCACTGATAGGTAAAGTATCAGTGTTTGGCAAACAAACAGATGTAGCTAAACAAGACAGCTGATTTGTGGTTCTGAAACTTGTTTGCCATCAGGAAAGTGACAGTTTCCTGTATCTTACCAACCCACCTCCCTGCAGCTGTCTCCCACTGACATAGCCCCCTAAGGATGCCATCCAGTCACGTTTTGAGTCTCTGTTGAAGAAATACTTGCTGTAAGAGCTGTTGTTGCTGGTGCTCTGTCCCTTCTCTCCTACAAGAGTTTGTTTTGCCTCCGTGCTCCCCTCATCCCTTGTCCTTTAGTAGGTGAGTTGCCAGTCTGCATGGTTTTCGTTCTTTTAATTCCCTTTAATTTAATTTCATTTAAACATTTGAATGTTTAAATTCTCGGTCTTTCCAGAAACATAAGCTTTGCTTCTTCTTACATACTAAATACTAACTATATAGATACTAAATTTATCTCAGGCTCATGTATAAGGCTATTGGATTGCCAGGTCCAGTTCCTTAGAACTCACCAGTTAAGATTTTTTAATAAAAAACCCTGTTCTGGGTTCCACAGCCGACCCCTTATAGGGTGTACTTAGGAGCAGACCCAGGCAGCAGTCTTCTGTTACTTCTGTGTGGTATCTATATTCATGAAGGTAATGAAGCTATTAATTGAATATGTAAGTTCAGGTAATTAAATATAAGACTTATTTCTTTAGTTTAAAGGGTAACAATAAAAAATTTAAACTTGCAAACTAAATCACACATTTAGTGATGATGAATGTGATCTAGAAAGTGCAATATTCCAATATGAATTAGTTAATTGCATCCATTCATTAGGTGATATACATTAGCAGAAGGTCAATCCATTTGAAGCTTGATGTGTTTTACAAATAATAAATTCAAACAGGTAAATTGCAGAGAAATTCAAAATAAAAAGTTTTTTTTATACATTTAAATTCAGAATAGAATCCCCACAACCAAGAGCATATTGCCTGTAACTCCTCAGTTAAGGGCACACGTTCTTTATCAGCCGTCTCCCAAGGCAGTGCCACTCACCGCCATGCATACTCTGCAGGAGAAGAGGGGTGCTGTTTTGCAGAGGCTGGGTTAAACCACCCCACTCACAGCTGTGAGTTGCTGTGTATTGCTGTGTGTCACTGTGTGCAGCGTGGAGACCAGCCGAGGAGCAGCATTGAGCTGGGTGGTCTCAGGAAGCCTCAGACTAAAGGAGTGGTACCTCTGGCTCACTCCATACATGGCAAAACCAGCCTTCTGCACAACAGCCTAGTAGTGACATGGTACATTTCGACTGGATACTTAACCTAACTTTTTAAACCAACCCAAGTATAAAGTGAGCCAAACACTGACAGTTTTTCCAACTGTATTCACTTGATCACTGTCACTGGAGTATTTGTGGCTTCCTTAAATCCTTAAATTTGAGTTTTAATTTAGGACTGACTTAACCATAGCAGCAATCAACACTTCTACTGGGTATAAAATGGCCAATATCACAGGTAAAAAAACTTATCCATTTGACTCATTTTTAGGAAAAATTATGTTAAATGAAGTTTTCTTCTTTAGCCATTCCTGGATGTTCAGTAATAAAAATGGGGTTTCTTGTTATCAGCATTTATTAAAATTTTATGTTAAAGGTAATGTAGAAATAAGGAAAATAAAAGTAGATTTTCTTTTGTTCCTTTAGAACTTAAAATATGTCCAGACTTAATCATTAATAAGATTTAGAATAGTGAGACAATCAATTCACTGTGATATCTGAAAAATGTCTGAAATAATATTTTATAGGATAATCACAGTATTGGGGGGTTGCTTTACATACAGTATTGCTTATGTGTATAACAGTATTTTTACATTATATATATAAAGCATCTGTCTGGAGTAAGGACTGATACCATCCTGCACACAATTCAAGGGCCATAATTCTTAAGAGATTTCAAACAGTGAGCTGCTTTCAAATGACCAGGCTTAGAGACATTTAGAGAATTGATTCAATTAACCTAGAGGGAAAAAGTGCTATAATGTGTGATTTATGTTTGCAGATAAATTAAAATACAAGTATCTCTTGAAGAGCATTTGCTGCCATCATGGTCAGTAATGAAAATAGCAGGCAATTAAAATTGGACACCTGAGGCTGAAGCTTTTACTGTCCATATCAGAAAATGAAGTTGAGATTTTGTAAGTGGAAATCTGAGCTGAAAAATAACTTAGAGGAAGTTTCTTTTCAGTCCCTATTTTTCTTCCAAAAGTGGTTTCTAAAGTACATAAGAAATAGGAACAGGCATTTACTGAGGCAGGAGGCAAAGGGTACAGAAGAGCAAGCTCTCTCAATCAACACTGAATTTGTATGAGGACCTAGGGATATCCTTGCTAAATGGCAGTGGGCTAGCTGAGAGAAATATATATAAAAGAAATTATGGGTCAGATTGAAATAATTTTAGAGCAGGTTTTGAAGCTGATCTTGAAATGAATCACTGGAAGTGTCTGACAGAATTATGTGATTCACTTCATGTGGGTGACAAAGTGCTTGGAGTCAGGAGCTCACTACAGAGCATAAGAAATGATCACAGATTTGAAGTAGCAAGAATGAAGAGCTCTGTCCATTTCCATGGTGTATCAGAATACACTTTGGCACAGCTTCTCTGCCCAGAAGAGCTATGTGAGATACAAATAGTTTCACCCAATTCTCTAGTGTTACAACTTCCTTTAGGCAATGGGGACACAGTAGTATAGAGCAGAAAAATACCAGTACTCTGAGCAGGAATGCCTTGATTACATCTGCATTGTCTTTGAAATCACAGCTGTGTCTTTTGCACCCTCTCTAGCTACCAAAGGTCCTGTTTCCATCAGACATTGTTTTTATAAGCAATGTCTAGGTCCTTGTCTATAAATAATAACGGTTTCTGAGGGTGAGTTGAGAAACTGAGACCTGTGAGTGAAACAAAGATGTTTCTTCAAATTATGCATTCACATTGATCTAAATATAAGAATAAAACTCTTCCAGAATGATTGTGATCTTGCCTTATATACTAGCCTAAATTCTAATACTAAAGTAAGAAACAATTGCTTGGTTGTTCTTTATTTTTTTGACAGCTATTTCCTCACAAAGTATGAAGGCAGCAATATCTTTGCCATTACAGTCTGGAACTGAACATATTTGTTTCCTGGTTCGCTAAGTAGGAGTTTAATTAAACCCATTCAATTGAGTGAAAATAAAGCCAGTTTGACTCAATTGCCAGTCGATACAGTATTAACAATTCACAAAAAAAAAAACAAACCAACAAAACAGAACAAAACAACCCCAAAACCAACCCGGAACTACAGGAGTGCAATAAGAATAAGTGGTTTCTCTGTTGTACATCGGTGTTTAGGGACCGCAGAACTCGGGCTGAACCTGGGGTGTTGTTCCTGTTCTTTCTTTTCTTGGCAATTGTTGGACTCACTTTTTTTATTTCACAAATCAATTAGTTTACTTCTGTATTCATTGTTATTGCTGAGTTATTGCCCTAATGTCCAAGGGCGGCCATCCCTCCCACAAAGAAATTGCACTAAATATCATTCACTTGCAGGATTTGAAGCCATGACTCAATCTGCCATCATAAAGTAGGCAGAGTAGTGCTGAATCACTGAAGCAGCTCAGC